TCACCCTCGCCGGTGGGCTTCTTCTGCTTGGTATACTGTGTAAAAGAGTTAGCGAATGCTTGCTCAAATGATGAAAGCGACGCACCGACTGGTACTTATTCTTGAGAGACAATGCAGCCCGGTCTGGCCGCCCCACCGACATTGCTTTTGCGTTATACACCCGCTCAACCAGCTTCCATCCCTTCTCGCCAGTTGGGAGTATTTCCTCGACCGTGGCGAACAGCATGTCCTTGTCGACTTTGTTGTAGTTCTGGACACCGCTACGACCGGTGCGAGTCTTCCCGCGGGCGTCGTCAGCGTCGGATTCCGAGTCGGAGGAGATAGCGCGAGCCTTCCCCTTGCCCTTGCCCTTCTTGGGTTTGTGCGAGGCCTTCGGGCGAACATCCCTCTTCGAACGAGGTCTGTGCTCGTGCTCAACCCTGTGCTTGGGATGAACAAAGGGACCGTGCTCGCAATCGTCACGCAGTAGAGCCGGGTCAATCTGCTGGGTGGAATTCACGATGGGCCGAAGGGAAAACTGATATTGCTCCTGATGGAAGGTCAGTGGGGAAGGGGTGACACGAAAGGTGAACGCACCTCTGGATGAACGGGACCATCAGGTCCACGTCCATCGTGCCCGCGGTACCCTTGAGCAGCATAACTGGTGTTCGCGACGGGCGTCTGGAAAGGTGCCGCGGCCTGCTACGGCAAGATAAATAACTCGCTGTGCACCTGATACCCATAAACTCACCGCGGTATACGGATGTCCATGCCAATGTGCCGGCGGTCCATTTCGGGGGTCTTGGCGGAGGGTGGGGGTATTGAGGATGTTCGAGACGCTGGAGCGCGGGGGAGGGAGGTCGCCTGGGTGGGCCATGAAGCTGGAATAAGCTGAAAGAGAGTGGGGACGCGCCTTTATAGCCTAAAATCCCAGTGCGTCCGGTGACATTCGGCCTTGTGTCGAGGGAAAAATTGCCAGCCAAGAAACATGCTCAATAAATAAGGTTGGGCCTATCGGAGTGCGTCCTGCAGGGTTGTGGGTCGGCCTTAGTCGGAGTGGCTCTCAATAAGAGCGACAAAAACTCACCAAGATACCAGTGTGAGTGTGCAGGTACGCGAGAGTGCGCCGCCTGCACGTGAATCCTTGTCGCATGGCGGCGGGTGGTGGGCGCCGGGTTGCTGATTGGAGAGGAGCGACGCACCGGTGTACACGCGGTGGCCAGCTGCGAGTTGGCTGTGACGAAGAGGATGGGAGAAAGAGCCTGAGAGTCTGTGTTACGTGACGCATATGATCCGTTAGTCCGTTTTGGGTTTGTTCGAGCGAATTTACATCTGTAGGGGGGGTCCCTACCCCCCGAACAGATACTCAAGTATACGACCGTCAGAGTGAGTATAAGCGAGATCCAAGGCCGATGGGGTCCTGATGGGAGCCCCGGCATCCCGGCAAAACAGCAAAGTATCTGATTTTACGCACTTCTGTCTTACGGGAAGTCACCCAGTCGTTCAGGATCACGTTAGTGCGAGAGTTCGGTGCCCGGGCCTTGATCCGACAACACTGCCACCTAATGTTGCCGCCGGCTCAGCCGGTCGATTTCCTGAAATTGACTTAGTACCCGAAATACATCAGTAGAAATTCTGAAAATATTTGGGCATCTAGAACACCATAAAAGCAGTGGGATGTGCTGCAAACATTAAGTCTTTTGTGCAGCTGGTCCTTCGATATTTGATCAGCTTACTCCTTATAAAATTACGCTATAAGCCTTTAAACTCCGCCGGCAATCTCCGTTATCAGCTCTCCGGAGCCACTTGCCGACGCACCGCTTTTATACAACTTCTTCGCGGCCCACCGCGCTCTTGTAAACGGCTCACATCAAATATCATCGCGATATCTTGGCCAGATGCTTAGTAGTAAGGGAAGCCTCCTCGGCTTTCAGGGTGCTCCAGATGTCCAATTTTTTTTCAGAATTCTCTCTAACGTATTCCTTGTACTACATCAATTTCAAAAAAATAACGGCTATAGCCGGCGGCAACACTACTGCTACCTAGCACCCAGACGGAGAGGACGTCTCCCGTGTCGACGTACAACGTTGAACAGAAAAATGTATTTTGTTAATCCCGCTTGAAACGGGGCGCCGCGTGTCGCCTCATGCGTGGGCATCGACAGCGGAGCCGAAGCGAACGGACATGACAGCAAAGGATGACGAACGTTCCTTGCCTGCACCGGAAGTGTAGTCCGCGTCTGACTTCACCAGTGGGTGGCGAGTGCAAAGCACTAGTTGCTGCCGTTCACCTACATCCTACCTTACTCATCTCATTTATCTACACACACGATACCCCCGTGTATTCTCTTCGCATCAACAATGAGAATTATTATTTTGACTTTCTGCATGAGTGCGTCGGCATTGTTGACCTAGGATAGCCAGGTTCAAATAAAGCTGTAGAAAGCACTGGTTGTGTATGGTACACCCGCCGGCTCATTGGGGTATTGATCTATCTGGCTGGCCGCGGCGGATGGGGGTTCGATTCTCCCCCAGTGCACTGTGTAATTTGCATCGACTGCTTTTTCTTTTCTATTTTTTTCTTTCTTTTTCCCGTCGGGCTGAGATTAGGCTGGGTTATGATGAAAATTGGGTTTGATTAGGGACAAGGAGGAGCGTGAAGAAGTATGTATACAGGTTCACTCAGTCACTCACTCTGTAAGACAGGGCATTGCGGATCCCGGGGGCGGTTGAAGAAAAAGGAAACACCGGGACCGTACCCGGTGAGATGTTGTGGAGAAGAGAAGACACCAGAGTGTGCGGTACAGGCGCCGGCCAATTCCATGAGGAGGAGAAATATCACGGCGAGTCGGGGTTCGATTCCCCGCTGGTGTATAGATTGGGGCGAAAGAGTTTTTTTTGGTTCGAGGGAATGAAAAAACTGAGCCGGTATGTATTTACCATTTTATTGTAGTGTCCATTGCCGCTAATCTTGGGGGCTGTGGTGAGCATGTTGAATTAGAAGTAAGTGAGCGCAAGCTTGAAATCTCCCGGGACTTCACTCAGATTAATTGGTTGGCCTAGCCCGGTTCAAAAAGAGTTACAGAAAGCACTGGTTGTGTCTGGTACACCTGCCAGCCCAATTCATACTTTGGTCTCGTACTGTGGCAGATCGGGGTTCGATTCCCTACCAGCGCATCAGAGGAGTATCGACGTTTTTTGTTTGTTTGTTTTGTTTGGAAGGAGGTGAGCTGGGACTAGGAACTGGGCGGTGCGCGAGGTTGGGCCGGGAGAGAAATTTGATTCAGACACTGGCAGAGGGTGACGGTGTGGAGAGAAGAGCTCCTCGAGTACAGGATAAACTTGAAGTGGCTGAGCAGCCTCAGGGTGAGGAACAGCTGCTCCCCGACTCAGATACTCAGTAAGAAGACCAGTGGGGTGTGGTACACCCACCAGCCAAGTAGAATTAAGGTGGCTGATGATTTGGGGTTCGATTCCCTGCTGGTGAATTCGCCGTCGAGGGGTAATCTGTTTTTAAAACTCAAAACAAGTGGGTTGCGGCGGACAACTTGAGGATTGTGGTATTTATTGCGCCGATGCAGGAGAAGCTGAAGGCAATAGATAATTATGAGGTGAGCGGCATGGATATCGAGTCTTGGCAGCCGGTTTGATATCCATTCAGGATTGCTCAGCACCCAGCGAGATGTTGTAGAGATGAGGAGAAACACCAGCGGTGTGTGGTACACGCGCCGAGTTCCATCAGCCACCCAGAAATTAGAATACAACGGCGAGTCGGGGTTCGATTCCCCGCTGGTGTGTAGCCGGTCAATGGTTGCTTTTTGCGAGAAAAAGCAAAACAACAAACTTTGAAATGGATCGAGGTTGTGAGTTTGCCGCCGAATTCATCGGAAGGACGGAGGTAAACAGCGTAGACTGATGGCGGCCAGCTCAAGATATCTATTACCAGGTCACGGTACTGGGTGAGATGCTGAAACAAGTTAGAGGAGGAGAACTTGGAGAATACCAGTAGTGTGTGGTACACGCGCCGGCTAATTTCCAACATCCCGAACATACCGCGGCGAGTCGGGGTCGATTCCCCGCTGGTGTCTGGCTTGCAACTTCTTTTTGCGACAAAAAGCAAAAGCAACCGAACTTTGAGATGGATCGAGGTGCGTCTTGCTGCGGAGCTCATCGGAAGGACGGAGGGTAGCTGCAGGCGGTGTAGATTATTGACAACCGGCCAGCTCACGATCTTACCCATTCAGCATTGCTCAGTACTCAGCGAGAGGAGAAGAAACACCAGTGGTGCGTGGTACACGCACCGGCCAATTCAAACGGCACGAGAATAATATGACGGCGAGTCGGGGTTCGATTCCCCGTTGGCGCATGAATAACTTTGAGGTCAAATGCAACTCTTTTGGTTCCCAGAGCTTGGCACGAGGATGGAACTACGGAAGAAGGGAATGAAAACACTGAGCCGGAAGGCATATGTGTTTTTATCGTAGCGTCCGTTGGCAGCTAATCTCGAGAGCTATGGTGAACATAAGGTTGGATTGGAACTTGTCAGTGAAGCCGAGCACAATGAATCTCCTGGAACTTCACTCAGCTGCAGTTTAATTGGTTGAACTAGCCGGGTTCGGAAAGAACTGTTAAAAGCGCTGGTTGTGTGTGGTACATCTGCCAACTCGATGGATAGTAGTCCTGCTTCTTGGCAGATCGGGGTTCGATTCCCTACCAGCGCATCCCGGAACATGTCGAGAGATTTTTGCGTTTGTTTTTTTGGACATGGAGGCAGCTGGACTAGGACTAGGAACTGGGCGGCGCGTGGGAGTCGGGTCGGGTCGGGAAAAAAAATGATTTAGACGGGCGGGGATGAAGAGCTCGAGTATTAGAAAGTGGCCGAGTAAACAGCTGCTCCCCGACTCCGATATTTACATTAATCACTCAGCACAGGAAGAAGACCAGTGGGGTATAGTACACACGCCAGCCAAGTAGAAAAGTGGTTGAGTTGATGATTCGGGGTTCGATTCCTCACCAAATATATACACCAGCGGGGAATCGAACCCCGACTCGCTGTGATACCTATTAGGTTCTCGTCCTGTTCTAATTGGCCAGCGCGTGTACCACACACCACTGGTGTTTTTCCTCTGCAACATCTCGCCGACTATTGAGCAACTGAATGGACACTATTGAGCCGGCCGTCAACATCCCGCCGTTCATCTTATCTACTTATTGCCTTGGGCTACTCCTGCATTCGCCCCAATATATACCACACATTAATGCTCGCTTCCGAAGGTGTCTGCCGCAACCTACTTGTTTTGGGTTTCAAAAAGAATTACTCGACAGCATCGAATACACCAGCGAAAGTAAAAGCAGTTTTTTCTGGTTTGGGGGAACGAAAAAAGCTCCCGGTGGTATGCATTTTTATCGTCCTAACAGGCTAATCACGAGAGCTACGCCGGCGAACGAACATGTTGAATTGGAAGTAAGCTTTACCAAAGACGTACTTACACGGAATTAACTTGACTCCGAGTCACGGTGAGGTTCAAATAAAGCTGTAGAAAGCACTGGTCGTGTATGGTACACCTGCCGACTCATTTGATGGTTCTCGCACATTTTGGCTGCGGCGGATCGGGGTTCGATTCCCTGTCAGTGCTATTGGATTGCTTGCATCAAATGCTTTTCTTTTCAATTTTTTTTTTCCAATCTCATCCCGTTGGGCTTGGGTTGTGAGGAAATTGGATTTGATCTAGAGACAAGAGTGCGACTAAGCAGGTGAAGGCAAGGCAAGGCAATATATGTGACATCGGCCAGCCCAGTCTAAGTGAGTACAGTACAGGGAAGAGAAACACCAGTGGTGTGGTACACGCGCCGCCTAATTTGAACAGCCTCATCATAACATTACTACGGCGGGTCGGGGTTCGATTCCCCGCTGGTGTGTAGAGCCGGTCCATGGTTTTTTTTTGTGAGGAAAAGCAAAAGCAAACAAACTTTGAAATGGATCGAGGTGCGGCTTGCTGCGGAGTTGATCGGAAGAACGTAGCTGCAGGCGGCGACGACCAGCTTAAGATGTATTACCATTCAGCATTGCTCAGTACTCATTGAGATGTTGTTGTGTTGCAGAGGAGAAGAACACCAGTGGTGTGTGGTACATGCGCCCGCTAATATAAATCGATGCATGGAATTACCACGGCGAGTCGGGGTTCGATTCCCTGCTGGTGCATAATTGATGGCCATGGCAGTTTTTTTGGTTCGGGGGAATGAAAAAAGCTCCCGGTGGTATGCATTTTTATCGTCCTAACAGGCTAATCACGAGAGCTACGTATACGGAGAAACATGTTGAATTGGAAGTAAGCTTTACCAAAGACGTACACGAGCACAAATCTCCTGGAATTCGCTTGACTCCGAGTCACCTCAACTGGCTAGGTGAGGTTCAAATAAAGCTGTAGAAAGCACTGGTTGTGTGTGGTACACCTGCCGGCTCGTTTAGAGCTATTCTCATCTTGTCCGCGGTGGATCGGGGTTCGATTCCCCGCCAGTGTATTTGGGCAAGCAGCGGGATTTTCTTTTCGTGTTTTTAAAACTCAATTCCCGGCTGGGCTTGGGTTGGTTTAACTGGGTTGGGTTGAGAGACTCAAAATAGGCTCAATTTGATTTGGCAACAAGGATTTAATTTGTGCAAGTAAAGTATGCAGAGCATCAACTCAACTCCCCTGAACCGACCCACCCCACTGTGCCTGGCTGGGTTCAAATAGGAGGTGTAGAAAGCACTGGCTGTGTTTGGTACAACCACCGGCTCATTGTGGATAATCTGGATGACTGTTGGCCACGGCGGATTGGGGTTCGATTCATCGCCAGTGCATATCTACGCATGCTATAGGCAGCTTTTTTCTTTTCATTTTTTTCAACCTCGATTCCTGGTTTGGTTAGTTTCAAAGTTTAACTTCGGATGAAAATGGGTTCGATTTGGTTGGGATTTGCGCAAGTAAAATATACAGAGCATCAACTCAACTCCCCTGAACCGACCCACCCCACCTCATCTGGCCAGATTCAAATAAGAGGTGGAAAAAGCACTGGTTGTGTGCGGTACACCTGGCGGCTCATTTCAGAGTTGTTCTCATCCTGTCCGCGGTGGATAGGGGTTCGATTCCCCGCCAGTGTATTGTTGTGCAAGCGGCATTTTTTTTGTCGTGTTTTAAAACTCAATTCCCGGTTTGGTTGGTTTGGTTTAACTTTGGATGAAAATGGGTTTTGATTTGGTTGGGAGACAAGACTTTGTGCTAGTAAAGTATACAGAGCATCAACTCCCCTGAACCAACTCACCTCACCGCACCTGGCTGAGTTCAAATATAGGTGTAGAAAGCACTGGCTGTGTATGGTACACCTGCTGGCTCATTATTCGCCATCGCCCGTCTTGGCCACAGCGGATCGGGGTTCGATTCCCCACCAGCGCATGCGACATGCCTGCATTCCCCCTTTCAAATTTTTTCTCCCCGATTCGAGCCCCTGGTTCAAGGTTGGAGATGTGAGGAAATTGGATATGATTTGATTTGAACTTTAAGACAAGGATTTGTGTGAGTAAGTATACAGAGTATCAACTCTCCTGAGCTGACTGACTCTGAATCACCTCACCTGGCTAGGTTAGGTTCAAATAAAGCTGTAGAAAGCACTGGTTGTGTATGGTACACCCGCCGGCTCAGTAGACAGGGCTTGCAGATTTTGGCTGCAGCGGATCGGGGTTCGATTCCCTGCCTGTGCATTGTGCACAAATTTTTTGCATCGACTGCATTTTCTTACAGCAGTTTGCGGAACTTAGGGCACAGCCCGTTTTTTTTTTCAATGCATTTTGCATTGGATGGCTCTCCTGGGATCAATTCTTATCTGTTTTCGCTGAGAGTATGCTCATTATGTTGGCATTGAAAGTCCAGAGGGCATGGCCTCCTCGGATTTTTTGATGGCCAATCAAATTGCTTGATTGGGAAAATATCCGTGTTTTGGGCAGGATGGCTGTAACATTAGCTATCACAGTTCGATTGGCCTAATTTTTTGATACAATGGACTTACAGGTGTAACAGAGGGCACCAAATACCGGAATTTTCAATGTGACCGATACATCAGGTGCAATCTATATTACAAGCACACCAAATTCTCTTTTCAAACTCTTGAGCCAAATACAAGTCATAAAAAATGCCGGTATTTGGTGCCCTCTGGTACAACTGTAAGTCCATCATATCAAAAAATTAGGCCAATTGAACTGTGATAGCTAATGTTACAGCCATCCTGCTCAAAACAAGGATATTTTCCCAATCAAGCAATTTGATTGGCCATCAGAGAATCCGAGGAGGCCATGCCCTCCAGACTTTCAATGCCATCATAATGAGCATACTCTCAGCGAAAACGGCCGAGAATTGATCCCAGGAGAGCCATCCGATGCAAAATGTATTGAAAAAAAAAAAAAACGGGCTGCGCCCTAAGTTCCGCAAACTGCTGTAAAGAAATTCTTTTCAATTTTTTTCCCAATCTCATCCCATTGGGCTGAGGTTGGGCAGGGTTGTGAGGGAAATTGTTCAGAGACAAGAGCGTGAGTAAGGAGTTGGAGCAGGCCAGCCCAGTCTAAGTGAGTACAGTACAGGGAAGAGTTTGAAATACCAGTGGTGTGTGGTACACGCGCCGCCTAATTTGAACAGCCTCATCATAACATTACTATGGTGGGTTGGGGTTTGATTCCCCGCTGGTGTGTTGAGGCAGACAATGGATGTTTTTTGTGAGGACAAGCAAAAGCAAACAAGGATTGAGGATGTAGAGGCTGCAGGCGGCATAGATTATTAGACAGGTTGTGCACAAGCTGCACATGGCTTTTGGGCATTGTGCAAAGCCACGGAGATTTTCCGAGTTCATCTAGGAAGGGTCAAACTTTCAGTGAACCTGGTGAGTGGAGGGAAGTATTTTAGACTATGGGATGGCTGTTCCATTTGTCATTCAGTTTGTAGGTGCTGTGGAATCAATGCGGAAAGTTAAGGACAAATCATTATATTCGCTGGATCTGATTGGATAGCCGCATGGACAGAACATTTGAAATGATATTTGTATGAGTTATTTTCGGTGGGTTTATGGGTTTGGGATATTGAAATCCTCCCCGTGGCTTTTGCACAACCTGTCTATTGACAACCAGCCATTGCTCATCCAGAACTCACTTAGTGGGATTTTGCAGAAGAGAAGAGAAGACAAAAACTAGTGGTGTGTGGTACATGCACCAGCGAATGCGAACAGGGTGAGAACACCCAGGCGAGTTGGGGTTCGATTCCCCACTGGTGTGTGGGACCAGACAATTGATTTTTTGCTGATGAGTGCGGTAGGTAGGTAGGTAGGTATATCTTGCCACCGAGCTCACCGGTGACAACCAGCTTGCAATGCATTACCATTCAGCATTGCTCAGTACTCATTGAAATGTTGTGTCGCAGAGGATTAGATTTCTTTAACTTCAACAGGATTTGGTCATCGTTCACAAGTTTTGCTAGCATCTCTTTCGAGATATCTATGGACCTCTGGATATACCGCAGGAATCTGAATGCTATGTCTAGCCTCATAGGGAATGACCCTGAACACTGCTATTTGTTCTCAGAACATTGCACCATTCATTTCTGCTACCAGATAGGTTCCCCCTTTGGTTTGTTGAAATAACTGCCATAGGTCCTAGATATCTTGGCTTCATCTTTCTGCTCACGGTCTTTTCGAACTGTGTGAATCTGACTAGCACTAGTCTTCCTGGTTGGAAGTCGTAGTTCTTTATTGTATGTTCATGGTATTTTTTGTACTTTCTCACAGAGACCCTCTTGGCATGGTCCACTCACACGTGCATAGCTTCTACATGATTGACATGTTTTGCTAGTGCTTGCGCCCTGAAACCTATAACCTCTGCATCTGTCAACACTCTGCCTGGCAAGTCCACTAGCCAAGTCGCTTCTTCAATGTCTAGCGGCAATATTGAATACACTGTGAGGTCTCCGAGCGTGCTATGCACTGCTCGTTGCCTCATAGCCCCTGTGGACCATCTGCACCATGGCGGAACAAGCTTCGACATACGCGACAGATCTTCATAAACAGGATTCTACGTTAACAAAAGCAGCTTCTGAGCAAGAC